CTTAAGATTCCTTTGACCCACAGTCTTCATATTTGGCATGGAGGTTAGTCATGACAAGTAGATGACCCTTCTTGATTTTGAGGTCACCAGGTCAAAGGTCAAGGTCAAAGGGGCCTTGACTTCAAAAAGCTTGTTGCCAAATAAATTAAGATTCCTTTGACCTACAGTCTTCATATTTGGCATGGAGGTTAGTAATGACAAGTAGATGACCCCTATTAATTTTGAGGTCACTAGATCAAAGTTCAAGGTCACAGGGGCCTTGACTTCAAAAAGCTTGTCCGCCCAATAACTAAAGATTCCTTTGACCCACAGTCTTCATATTTGGCATGGAGGTTAATCGTGATGAGTAGATGACCCCTATTGATTTGGAGGCCACCAGGTCAAAGGTCAAGGTCACAGGGGCCTTGACTTCAAAAAAATTGTCTGCCCAATAATTTAAGTTTCCTTTGACCCACAGTCTTCATATTTGGCATGGAGATTAATCATGACGAGTAGATGACCCCTATTGATTTGGAGGCCACCAGGTCAAAGGTCAAGGTCACAGGGGCCTTGACTTCAAAAAAATTGTCTGCCCAATAACTTAAGATTCCTTGGACCCACAGTGTTCATATTTGGCATGGAGGTTAGTCATGATTAGTAGATGACCCCTATTGATTTTGAGGTCACCGGGTCAAAGGTCAAGGTCACAGGGACTTTGACTTTAAAAAGTTTGTCCGCCCAATATATTAAGAAACCTTTGACCCACAGTCTTCATATTTGGCATGGAGGTTAGTCATGATGAGTAGATGACCCCTATTGATTTTGAGGCCACCAGGTCAAAGGTCAAGGTCACAGGGGCCTTGACTTCAAAAAGTTTGTCCGCCCAATAACTTAAGATTCCTTTGACCCACAGTCTTCATATTTGGCATGGAGGTTAGTCATGACAAGTAGATGACCCTTCTTGATTTTGAGGTCACCAGGTCAAAGGTCAAGGTCACAGGGGCCTTGACTTCAAAAAGCTTGTCCGCCCAATAACTAAAGATTCCTTTGACCCACAGTCTTCATATTTGGCATGGAGGTTAATCATGATGAGTAGATGACCCCTATTTATTTGGAGGCCACCAGGTCAAAGGTCAAGGTCACAGGGGCCTTGACTTCAAAAAAATTGTCTGCCCAATAATTAAAGATTCCTTTGACCCACAGTCTTCATATTTGGCATGGAGGTTAATCATGACGAGTAGATGACCCCTATTGATTTTGAGGCCACCAGGTCAAAGGTCAAGGTCACAGGGGCCTTGACTTCAAAAAAATTGTCTGCCCAATAATATAAGTTTCCTTTGACCCACAGTCTTCATATTTGGCATGGAGGTTAGTCATGGTGAGTAGATGACCAGTATTGATTTTGAGTTCACCAGGTCAAAGGTCAAGGTCACAGGGGCCTTGACTTCAAAAAGCTTGTCCACCCAATAACTTAAGATTCCTTGGACCCACAGTCTTCATATTTGGCATGGAGGTTAGTCACGATTAGTAGATGACCCCTTTTGATTTTGAGGTTACCAGGTCAATGGTCAAGGTCTCAGGGACTGACTTTAAAAAGTTTGTCCACCCAATATATTAAGAAACCTTTGACCAACAGTCTTCATATTTGGCATGGAGGTTAGTCATGATTAATAGATGACCCCTATTGATTTTTAGGACACTGGGTCAAAGGTCAAGGTCACAGGGGCCTTGACTGTAAAAAGCTTGTCTGCCCAATATATTAAGATTCCTTTGACCCACAGTCTTCATATTTGGCATGGAGGTTAGTCATGGTGAGTAGATGACCAGTATTGATTTTGAGTTCACCAGGTCAAAGGTCAAGGTCACAGGGGCCTTGACTTCAAAAAGCTTGTCCACCCAATAACTTAAGATTCCTTGGACCCACAGTCTTCATATTTGGCATGGAGGTTAGTCACGATTAGTAGATGACCCCTATTGATTTTGAGGTTACTGGGTCAATGGTCAAGGTCACAAGGACTTTGACTTTAAAAAGTTTGTCCACCCAATTTATTAAGAAACCTTTGACCCACAGTCTTCATATTTGGCATGGAGGTTAGTCATGATTAATAGATGACCCCTATTGATTTTTAGGACACTGGGTCAAAGGTCAAGGTCACAGGGGCCTTGACTGTAAAAAGCTTGTCTGCCCAATAACTTAAGATTCCTTTGACCCACAGTCTTTATATTTGGCATGGAGGTTAGTCATGATAAGTAGATGACCCCTTTTGATTTTGAGGTCACTGGGTCAAAGGTCAAGGTCACAGGGACTTTGACTTCAAAAAGTTTGTCCGCCCAATAACTTAAGAAACCTTTGACCCACAGTCTTCATATTTGGCATGGAGGTTAGTCATGATAAGTAGATGACCCCTATTGATTTTTAGGACACTGGGTCAAAGGTCAAGGTTACAGGGGCCTTTACTAAAAAAGCTTGTCCGCCCAATAACTTAAGATTCCTTTTACCCACAGTCTTCATATTTGTCATGGAGTTGAGTTATAATTAGTAGGTGACCTTTAATGATTTTGGGGTCACTGGGTCAAAGATCAAGATGCGGGGGTATTCACGCCATGACAGTGTCAGTTCTAGTTTCTTTTGTAATACATCTGCATATATATATATATATATATATATATATATATATATATATATATATATATATATATATTAGGGATGGCAACGAGTAACCGGTTAACCGAGTACTCGATCGAATGTCCGAATATCGGTTAACAAAATTGATATTCGATTACTCGGAAAAAAATATTTAATTTCTACTTTTTTGCCATTTAGAAAGATTAGTTCAGAAATTCGGAAATGTACACGTATCTGTATAAATACTTGTTAAGTGCAATCAAAACATCCTTGCAGAGGTGTGAAAATGATATCGTAAGTTTAACGAGGCGATCAGCAGTTTGACACGCGTATGGGATTGAACACAGTCCTGTGTCGTTTACGTCATTCGGCCTCTTATGATATTTAATCACCTTAAAATATTAGGAAACTTATTAATTATATAACCGTAAATATATATACGGAATATTATGTTGTAGCTTTGTATTTTGCTACGAGAGCGGTGGAAAAATTGATATCTTACGAGACCGAAAGTCGAGTGAAATATCAATTTTCCAACATTGCGAGTAGAAAAATGCATAGGCTACAACATAATTTTCCTTTTATTATATACCTATTCGTTTGAATTATAAATGATTCATTATACTACACTTCTATAAGAAATTTCAGAAATGAAATGTAGCTGTCAAGAAATAAATTGACCGACGGATGAATACGTAATTTTTGCAAAACCGGCCACGCCTTTCATAATTTTGGTTTCCGTTTCCAAATTCTACGTTTATACACAGCTAAGATCGGAACAAACGTCAAAAATAGTCCGGCACTTCCATATATGGTACCGTATTATGTTAGTGACAATTAACAATAATTTTCTATCCGTTGAAGCGTATTCGCGCTTCAAGTTCATCCTGTATTTTAGTGAGAAAATTTGTAGGTATATAATAAATGCTGTCATTGACATTTCTTATGTTTATATTTATATATGTATTTCTTGCAGTCCTATTTATAGTTACTAATTCTATGAATCAAAATAGAAAACGAAAGTAGCATGCAGACGGTGTTGATATTGTGTGATAAAACTTTAAAGATCATTGGAAATCGTCCGAGTAACCGAGTACTCGATCGGAATAATGACCGAGTACTCGAGTATTGATTTTGGTATTCGTTGCCATCCCTAATATATATATATATATATATAAATAAGTTTGCCATAAGATATTTACAATAAGGAAAATTAATAGTGACTCAGTTAGTCAACTGCCCTATCGTAATAAAAGTGATGATGTCACAATAAAGTTAAAAAAAACTTAAGTATATAAGGCCAATTAGCACAAAGAAAACACAACGGCCACTGTGGTGTATTGGTCAGCATACTTGACCAGCAATCCAGAAACCTGTTGTTGAAGTCCTGGCTGCAGTGTGCCGTGTTTTCGTGCGAATTTTCAATAATATTTTTAGCTCGACTATTCGCAGAATAATAGAGCTAATGCAGTCACCCATTTGTCATCGCCGGCGTCGGTGTCGGCGTCCCTGTGGTTAAGTTTTTGGGTGTAAGCTGGTATCTCCATAACTACTGAAGGGAATGGATTGAAACTTCACACACTTGTTCTCTGTGATTATCTAACATGATTGGCACAAGTCCCATAACTCTGATTTGCTTTTTTGCATAATTATGCCCCTTTTTCGACTTAGAAATTCTTGGTTAAGTTTTTGCGTGCAAGCTGGTATCTCCATAACTACTGAAGGGAATGGATTGAAACTTCACACACTTGTTCTCTGTGATTATTTAACATGATTGGCACAAGTCCCATAATTCTGATTTTTTTTTCATAATTATGCACCTTTTTCGGCTTAGAAATTCTTGGTAAAGTTTTTGCTTGTAAGCTGGTATCTCCATAACTACTGAAGGGTTTGTGCTTTTTTTGGAACAATTTTATGCATTCATAATAATAAAGCAGTGATTCACTCGATAAAACATCTTAATAACAAGCCTTTGTACTTTTTGGGACAATTTTATGTATTCATATAGGTAAGCATTATTATACTCAATGAAACACACTTGTGACAACTTTTCGAATAGTCAAGCGTTACTGTCCTCCGACAGTTCTTGTTTTTCTTCTTGTGAATTTTAAAAATATTTCTATTGTCATTTATTTTAAGAACAAATTCATACTTTGACAAAACTAGTGTGACAAGACTGACCTTTTAAAATTATAAAAAGAAAACATTAAGATTTCTTCAAACGTTTCTTTGTTTGCTTTTAAAAAAAGTAAAAAGTCGAGCATTGCCACAGCCAGGCGGTGGCTAATGTTTGTTGAGTTATTGCTATCAAGAAGACACATGTGATCACTGATCACTCTTGTTGGAACTACATCTGCCTTAAAGATATAACTTGTATTTTAATTTTAATTTTCAGTCAAAAGCCAATATAGTAACACCAAGAAATGGAGAACCTTTAATTGCTGCCATTCAAGATTTCATTACTGGTATGTATATCACTGTCAAATGTGTATTAAGCTACCACGCAAATAAAACACCAAAATGGTTGCTTATACAATGGTCTCTTTTTTAGTTAAATAATATTTTATTGTATATTTTGTACATGATAAATTTACACAATTTAACATCATTATCTTAAGCATAAATATAATGTACATACAAAAAGTCTGGACCAAAAGTTATACCAACATTATCTAGGGTCCTCCCCTAAAGGTCTATCTTGTTGGCTTAATGGTAACATAGTAACTGCGGATTTAAGAAATTCTGAGATATGATAAGCGATATTAGTTTTGTGTATTTTAACTAAAAAAAACAACAAAGAAAATTACAAAATGACTTAATGAGATTAAATGGAAAAAAATATGCCATTAACAATTTGCCACTAGAATAAACGCACCAAACCTTGATTTGCAGCAGTATTTTTATAAACTAAATATGAAAATAAATATAGTACATGTGTAAACAAAATAAGGTAAATCTTCTACTACTTTTGATGAAATTTTGCACTTCTTGAAATAGTCTTTATGTTTTTCGGTTTCTGCAAGTCCATCAATACCGTGTAATAATTTCTTACTTCTGAGAGGATGAAATGACCTGGTATTCCAAAAAAGTATACGTCTTTTCATAGTATATAATTTACATCGGAAAAAATAGTGTTCCGCATTTTCGATGTCTGCGTAATGGCATAATGATTGGCATAATGGACTTGAAACTAAATGGTTAATAAAAAGATCATTATTTAAGTTGCTACAATTGTTTCTAATTCGAGTATGATGGACTTTTAAGAAACGATCTCTGTATAAGAAAAAAGATGGAACTACTTGAGGTTTATATAACTGTTTAATCTTGTTTTGAAATGAAGCTAGCGACTGTGATTCGCGAATGTTTGTCGGAAGATTATTCCATAATTGAATAGCTGATGGAATAACTTATTTTGAGTAAATTTCGGTACGTCTGGCTAAAGTAATATAGTCACTATTATTTCTTAACGAATAATGGTTTTCTAACGCCATTTCGACAGATGGTGGAAAAAGTTGCATAAGATATTGTGGTGATAAATTATATTTTCCTTTATACATTAAAGCTAGTTTTTGAATTTGTCGTCTGTCTGAAAGTGAAACCCATCCTATCTCTTTAAGTAAATTTTGAATTGATACGGATCTAGTTAAACCAGTTACCAAGCGAGCTGCTTCGTACTGAATTTATTCTAACGTTTCTTTTTCAAACTGTGTACAATTATCCCATACTTAAGATGCATATTCTAAATGTGGACATAAATAAGATGTGTAAAACCGTCTCCGTGGTCGAGGGGTTAGAGTCAAGACTTCTAATCCAGTTACCTCTCTGGCGTGGGTTCGATCCCCGGGAGATGCTTTGGTAGTTTAGCGCGGAGGACGGTACTGGTGTAACTCTCCAGGAACGATGGTTAGGAAACTACCTGCCTATATGACTGAAATAATGTTGGGGAAAAGGCGTAAAATTGAAACAAACAAACAAACAAAACAAACAAGATGTGTAAATGTTATTTAGAGTTTTTCTTTTTACCTTGAATTTTAGCATTTTCATTGAATCAAGAATTCTTGCAGCTTTGGATACTATAATAGATATATGTTTATGCCATGACCTATCTTGACAGAATGTTACTCCTAAATGCTTATGGTGGTCTACATACTTAAGCTGTACATCATTGAAAGAAAGATTTGGTTCATTTTGGTTACAAAATGAAAAGAACATGACCTCAGTTTTTGCTGGATTGAAATTTACAAGCCATTGTTTAGACCATGATGTAAGGTCTTTATTTAGAATTTCTTCCATATACAAGATATCTTTAGATGAGACTGCCAACGAACTGCCATCGGCAAAAAGTCTAGTTACACTTAGAAGGGATTCAGCAATGTCATTAACATAGATTAAAAATAAAAGAGGACCAAGGACGGATCCCTGGGGGACTCCTCCAAGTAATGTTGTAGTATTAGAGAAAGAGGAAGACACAAAAACTTTCTGAGACCTATTATAAAGATAGTTGTTTAACCATGAGATCAATTTTCCTAGAATTCCATACTGTTTTAATTTGAAGATAAGACCTTTATGCCAAACTCGATCAAACGCTTTTGAAATATCGCAAAATATAATACATGTTGATTCTTTGTTGTCAAAAGCTTTACAAATTTGATTATAAATATCAATAAGCTGGTAGACAGTTGAGTGACCTGGCAAAAAACCAGATTGATTATGAAATAGTAATGAGTTAATATGAAAATAGTTATACATATGTTTAAATATAATACGTTCCATCACTTTTCCAACACAGCTTATCAAAGAAATCGGTCTATAGTTTGATGGTTTGTCCTTATTACCTTTTCAGCTCACCTTTGTGCTCAAGGGTGAGCTGTTGTCATCACTCTGCGTCCGTCGTGCGTCGTGCCTTGTGCGTCCTTCAAAAAATGGCGTTAAACTTTTCAAACAACATCTCCTCCTAAACCACATGGCCAATTGCAACCAAACTTTACAGAAATGATCCTTAGGTGGACCCCTTTCAAAGTTGTTCAAAAATTTAAATTCCATTAAAAACTCTGGTTGCCATGGCAACCAATAGGAAAAACTTAAAAAATCTTCTTTTAAAAAACCCTAAGAGCTAGAGCTTAGATATTTGGCATGAAACATCTTCTAATGAGTGTCTACTAAGTTTGTCCAAATGAAGGCCCTAGGGTCAAAATTGGCCCTGCCCCAGGGGTCATTGATATGTACTGTAAATCCTGTATTTTTCGCGTTGTTTTGATTTATCGCTATTTCTTCTCTCCACTTTGACCTATTTCTCAGGTGAGTGATCCAGGGCCCTTATGAATACACACAAGTGACTTTGTATACTATTCAATAGTAGAGGTCACTCATTGGTTCCACGAAATAAAAAATGTATTAAGGCTTAATTTTTTGGTCTCTTTTTAGCACCTGTCATAAGCATCCACAAATTTCGAAAAAGTGTATCAAATGCAAAATACAATGAAACACGTGATCATACACCCATATGACAACATGTTCCAGTGTTGCCTTAGCATATTTGTAAACTTGTTCTTGTAAGTTTGAAATTAATGGGGGTGGTTGTCATTTGCAGTTTTGTGATGCACATTATCTTTCCGGAAGCTGTATCAATCTGGAATGACCTTTGTTTAAAAAGAGAGAAAGAATTACAAATTTTGAAAAAAGTCTCTTGCTATCGGAAAAGAGGTATGCCTACCATTGTTACTATGAACAACAATTTCTGACAATTTCGTTATTATTTATGTCTTTTACGCTGATTTTTCGTATTTATTTTCTTAATAATTAGTGAGAACAAATGAGCTTTATTATAAGAAACTTAAATCAGTATTTAAAATAAAGTATTATTCCTCTCTTAAATGAACATTAAAGGAATAGGAACGGATAGATTGATATCTGTCTTATATCAATATTTATCCTTTAAAAAGAGGTACCATGGCAGTTAATTTGTCGAAATCAGCTTTATACCTGAGAAATTCCTGTTTAAAGACAATGTTTTTTACTTGAGAAAAAAGTTCATGGGCGCCGTCAATTTGGTGTTCTTTCACTCTCGGGAGATGGATGAGACCGAGATTATGACATATTACCCCAACTTACAGTGTAGAAGGTGTAAACGCTGGTACAACAGAAATGTATCTTGATAAACAACTTATAATTCTTATTACACAAACATGCATGTATTAAAATGATTTTACAAAAATGCATTGACAATTTTTTGACTCCAAAAGTATAACTAAGAAGTATATATAGATACCGATATTGAAATTACCGCATTTTTTCGGACATAATATGGGTGCTTTTTTAGCTCACCTGTCACAAAGTGACAGGGTGAGCTTTTGTGATCGCTTTTCGTCAGTCGTCCGTCCGTCCGTCGTCTTTTGCTTTAAATGACATCTCCTCATAAACCACTAAGCCAATTTCATCCAAACTTCACAGGAATGTTCCTTTGGTGGTCACCTTTAAAAATTGTTCAAAGAATTTAATTCCATGCAGAACTCTGGTTGCCATGGCAACCGAAAGAAAAAACTTTAAATATCTTCTTTTAAAGAACCCAAAGAGCTAGAGCTTAGATATTTGGCATGAAACATCTTCTATATAAGTTGTCTAACAAGTTTGTTGAAATAAAAGCCTTTGGGTCAAAATCAGCCCCGACCCGGGGGTCATTGATTTTCTCTATATGCATATAGTAAAAACTTAAAAAATCTTCTTTTAAAGATCCCAAAGAGCTAGAGCTTAGATATTTAGCATGAAACATCTTCTAGTGAGTGTCTACCAAGTTTGTTCAAATAAAAGCCCTGGGGTCAAAATTGGCCCCGCACCAGGGGGGTCATTGATTTTCCCTATATGCATATAGTAAAAACTTAAAAAAACTTCTTTTAAAGAACTCAAAGAGCTAGAGCTAAGATATTTAGCATGAAGCATGTTCTAATGGGTGTCTACTAAGTTTGTTCAAATAAAAGCCCTGGGGTCAAAATTGGCCCTGCCCCGGGGGTCATTGATTTTCCTTATATGTGTATAGCAAAAACTTAAAAAACCTCTTTGAAAAAATCCCAAATAGCTAGAGTTTAGATATTAAGCATGAAACATGTTCTAGTGAGTGTCTACAAAGTTTGTTCAAATTAAAGCCCTGGGGTCAAAATTGGCCCCGCCCCGGGGGTCATTGATTTCCTTAAATGTGTATAGAAAAAACTTAAAAAAATCTTCTTTGAAAAAACCCAAATAGCTAGAGTTAGATATTAAGCATGAAACATCTTCTAATAAGTGTCTACAAAATTTGTTCAAATAAAAGCCCTTGGGTCAAAACTGGCTCCACCCCAGGGGTGTCATTGTTTTTAACTATATGTGTATATTAAAAATTTAAAAATCTTCTTTTAAAAAACCCAATGAGATAGAGCTTAGATGTTTAGCATGAAACATCTACTTATGGGTGTCTACTAAGTTTGTTCAAATAAAAGCCCTTGGGTTGAAATTAACTCTGCCCGGGGGGGGGGGGGGGGGGAGAAGGTCATTGTTTTTCCTTATATGTGTATAGCAACAACTTAACATCATGAA